TAAAAGCAAGCGAGGATGAGAGCGAATGAGCAATTGAGGAGGGGAATAAGTGGGCAGGGTGGGGCTTCAGGGAAGGAGCAGGGCCTTGGGCAAGGGGCAGGGTAGATTTGGGTTGTCAAGTTAAAAAACTGATCTTGGGCATAAAATGTTGAGGCGCGCTGCCCTGAGGAGTGACAGAGGGAGAAGGAGAGAGTGAATGAATAAGTGAAAAACTTAAAAATCAACTAATAGTCTTGTAGGACCTTAGAGCCTAACAAAGTTTGTAGATGGGATCATGAGCTTAACCCACTTCTTCAGATGAAAGAGGTAGGTTGAATAAATGAATACAGAGATGAAGGAATTACCCCAACACCCCCACAGAGAGTCTTTCCCTGTCCTCAAAATTCTAGATTTTCCCTCCAGGGCCTGTTTAAAACCAGAGATGTACCCACTCCCTTGGGCAGTTTGCTGCTTCTAGTGATCCAGATTCAATTACCCCCTTATTAAAGTCCATATAATGCTCCGGAGAGCTGCCAAGCCAATACCAGGTGTGACGTAGTGGGGGTATCTGGCTGCTTTCTATGCTGGCTCTGTGGTAACCCCCACTGGCTGCTGTCGGTACCACGGCCCAGCAAGACAGGGGATGAGTCATTATGCAAAGAGGGTCTCTCAACCTGTCTGACCAGCTACCCCCCAGGGAGAGAAACAAAGGAAGGGGGAATGCTGCCCCTGGCTGGGGGGCAGGGCTGGAAGAGAGTTAGTTTCTGTCTGGGAGCATGGAGAAAGCAGCCTAAGCAACAGGCTGGGGGTTTAGAAGCCGAGACCTCCCCCCCATATCAAGGGGGGCTGAGGCATCCTAGGCCGGCCCTGTAACCAGATAACATCTGTGCTGTGCTGTATCCTGGAGAAGCAATAAACTCCCTCTCTTCTACTGGCTGGGGGGGGCTGTTCGTGCCATTCTGGGGGTGCAGGAGGCGGGGGAACCCCAACGCGTCGTCACACCAGGGCACAGCAGAAATTCACTATGTGGGACTCATTATGGGCACAAAAAATTTACACAAAGCATTATGAGAGAACTTACCAATTCTGTTTGTCATCTGGGCAGTTGCTGGTGATAGAAACCAGAACAGTCCAACGAGGAAAAACACTTGAGAGAAGATGAACAAAACTTGTTTAAAATCCAGAATATGGCAAAAAAACAATACAGGGAGATATTACTAAATAAAGGGATCTAAGCACCTTTGTATGAGTCTGACCCTAATCTCAATTATACTGGTGTAAATTTGGAATGACTCCATGGCTTTACTTGTAATGGAGTTACTCGGCATTTACCCTGGGGCAATCAGGATTAGGTGAGGGATTGGACCTCACTAATGTGGGGAGAATGGAAGCCAGGCACTGGACTTTTCCATTCTAGTCTCAGCCACTGACACTCTGTAGGAGGCAGCTGGGGTCTGAATGGCTTCTCAATGCCCTGGTGCAGGGTGGCGTGGATTCACAGGGTGTGTGGTCTGTGCTGCAGCCTGTAACCAGTCCCTTTGCAGTGATCCCTAGTATACTGGGCCCCCACAAGGGCAGACCTGTGGCCTCCAAAATTAGGCCTTTGGGTGCCAGCAGTCGCTGTCATTTTCCATGGCTCTCTTTAGTAAGTGGGAAGCTTGTTCTTTACTCCTTCAGGGCCCAATGCTCTCAGCGATTATTTGCCATAACTCCAGGCAGCCTTTTCCAAACAAGGTACCAATGTATTTAGTCGCCTGGCCTACAGATTCTGGCAGTCCTTATGTTAGCATAAAGGGGCAGAAATACTCCATGCTGACCAACCAGGGCTCCCATGACATAGGCTGCCACAGGAATCAACCATCTCAGTTTTCTCTCCCTGTCTCTGTTCTTGTCTAGGACTCAGGTCAACAGACTTGTGCTACTATGCTAGAAAATGTAGCTGCATTCACATTGCTTTTGTCCCGGTAACGCACAAGCCCCAGTCTGTCAACATGAGCTCGGAGAGTCCGGACCACGGGCTGTATAGCTAGCTGTGCCCTGATCAGCCATGGAATCTCCTAAGAGACTGGGGACAGAACCTTTTTGATAAGATGCCAGCTGGCTATTCCCAGCTGTTCAGCAGATAACAGTTTGCTTGGCACATTCTGTCATACAACATCATTGCTCTATCATCAATAATTGGTTCTACTTACTTGGAGGAAAGGAAAAGCCTCGGCGTCCCATGCTGGCTCAGAAGACAAGTTCCTGGATTCTGACCCTTGCAGCTTCCTTGTTAATCAGAAACAAGACCAAAAGCAAAACTGACATACTCTTGGTCACATCTTCCTTTTTAGTGCCATCTCTCTGGTGTCCAGAAAGAGTCTTTGGGCCAAATTCCCCTCACTACAGGCAGTAACTGAGGAATGGGAGCCCTCACAGAGCAAGACGGACTCATACAAGTAGGCAGCTATTTATACTCTCAGATAAGAGTTGTATACAATTGGTGCTGAAATAAGATGAGCAAATAAACATTACAAAACTAAGACTAGATGGTTACTTGGCTGGAACCCAGGGACACTTCCTCCCCAGCTCTTTCAAATCCCCCCACTCCAACCATTTTTTACCCACAAATGACCCACAGTGAAATGTTGCTCTGTAGTAACTTTCACATGAGACAATAAGAATCTATGAATGCTGCACACTAGAGGAGTGTATCCTTTAGCTAAAGTAGCACAAGGCTCATGCTTTTAGGGCAGAAGGTTCAATCCCTCCTGTTCACCCCTGGGGGTGAATTCACTCCACATTGCAACCCAACAGCTATCTCTCTCTTTCTCACACACACACGCTTTAGCAAAATGGAAAGAGCTTCCTAGAAAAGGATGTGCTACAGAAAAGGATGTGGGCAGTATAGTGGTTCACAAACAGAAGTCTTAATCAACAATGCCAGGGGCAGCCCGAGGAGGGCTGCAGCAGCTGGCACCCCAGGCAGAACACGCGCTCGGTGCCCCCGCCGGCACGACCCTCAATGGTGTGACATCATCATTGGGCACCCCGTTGAAGGCGGTGCCCTAGGCGACGGCCGAGTCGACCTATACTCACCAGCCCCCACCCCTGAACAATGCACCACTGTAGCAAATCTAATTTGGGGCTATATTAGCAGCAGTATGGTAAGCAAGACATGAGAAGTCATTATTCCACTCAGCACTGGTAAGATCTCAGCTGGAGTAATGTATCCAATTCTGGGCACCACATTTCAGGAAAGATGTGGACAAATGGGAGAAAGTCCAGAAGAGAACAACAGAAATAATTAAATTCTAGAAAACATGATCTGTAAGAAAAGATTGAAAAAATTGGGGCTGTTTAGTCTGTAGTAAAGGAGAGAGGGAGAACATGATTACAGTATTCAAGTACATACTGTCTTCCAGTTTGTTATAAAGAGGGAGTGATAAAAATGTTCTTCTTAACCACTAAGGACAGGAGAAGAAACAATGGGGTTAAACTGCAGCAAGGGAGATTTAGGTTAGACATTGCAAAACCTTTCTAACTGTAGGGTTAGTTAAGCACTGGAACAAATACCTAAGCAGCTGTGGAATCTCTATCATTGGATATTTTGTCAGAAGAGGTTAGGCAAACACCTGCCAAGGTCAGTATAGATAATACTTTAGTCCTACCTTACTACAAGGGATTGGACTAGAAGACCAGAAGACCTCTCAAGGTCCCTTTGGGTCCTACATTTCTATGATTCCTCACTTCTGACTGCAGAGACTTCTAGGCTGTGAAGACAGTTAAAACCCATTAACTCTCCTAAGGCTGATCAGGGAGTATCTTTCAGTCAGAGCTGCCAAGTGGCATAAAAGGGGGTCCACATGGTGCCAGGGGGAGAATGCTGTAGGGCAGGGCTACTCAACACATGGCCCACAGCCTGTTTGTTTGCAGCCTGCAGTGCAGTTTGGGTTTATGGAGGACTCAGTATGCTGTCCGCGGGGGAGATCCTTTGAACATGGCATCCACTGGGAACACACTCCACAATGGCAAGGTGCCTCCCAGACAGGGTGGACACTGAAAGATGAAAGCGGATGGGCTGGCTGGAATAGATGGGTACAGGGTGTCGGTGTTTCTAGCCCTCAGGGAAGAGGTGCCGGGAGCGCTGGGGTATTGTGGGAAGTGCTTTGTATTCATGTCTGACAGTGTGAAAGAAGCTATTTGCATATATATTTACATGTATTTGCAACCTCACTTAATTTGCAGCCGTTGGCATGTGCTGTGAGTATTACTGTGGCCCCCGGGGCTTCCAGAGTTGAGTAGCCCTGCTGTAGGATGTTCTGAGTCGCTCTGTCAGAGCCCCACATGACAAGGATTGTCCTACATGTCCAGGAGTAAAAAACAAAATGTCAAGTTCCTACCAGTTCAGGACTTACATGTGTCACTGAAGCAGGACACCTCTTGTGGCTACTGCTGTTGCTATACAGCCAACACATTATGTCTTGATCACAGCTATGCCCAGATGTGCAGTCTCAAAAGGCGATTTTAGGTTCAATTTCTCAAAACAGATGGGACTGTGAAAGCCAGTGAGAAAGCAAGAAGTTGGTGTCAAGATAAAGCAGAAGATACAGGGTACTGTCTTTTCCTCTCTGCAGTTTCAGCTGATGCAATCTTATGACACAACAGGACCCACTGTCAGCTTAGTTTCCCAGAATTATAGAATCCTCGGGCTGCAAGAGTCCGCAGGAGGTCATCAAGTCCAGCCCCCTGCTCAAAGCACAACCAATCCCAACTAAATCAATCCAGCCAGGGCTTTTCTAGGGATGGAGATTCCACCACCTCCCTAGGGAACCAATTCCAGTACTTCACCACCCTTCTAGGGAAATAATTTTTCCTAATATCCAACCTAGACCTCCCCCACTGTAACTTGAGACCATTGCTCCTCGTTCTGCCATCCGTCACGTCTGAGAACAGCCTTTCTCCATCCTCTTTGGAACCTCCCTTCAGGAAGTTGAAGGCTACTCTCAAATCCCCCCTCACTCTTCTCTTCTGCAGACTAAAGAAGCCCAGATCCCTCAGCCTCTTCTCATAGGTCACGTTCTCCAGCCCCCTAATCATTTTGCTCGCCCTCCGCTGGACCCTCTCCAATGCGTCCACATCCTTTCTGTAGTGGGGGGGCCCAGAACTCCAGATATGGCCTCACCAGAGACTAATAAAGAGGAATAATCACTTATCTAGATCTGCTGGCAATGCTCCTCCTAATGCACCCTAATATGCCATTAGCCTTTGTGGCTACAAGGGCACACTGTTGACTCATATTCAGCTTCTCGTCCACTGGATTCCCCAGGTCCTTTTCTGCCAAACTGCTACTTAGCCAGTCGGTCCCCAGCCTGTAACAATGCTTGGGATTCTTCTGTCCCAAGTGCAGGACTCTGCACTTGTCCTTGTTGAACCTCATCAGATTTCTTTTGGCCCAATCCTCTAATCTGTCCAGGTCACTCTGGACCCTATCACTGCCCTTCAGTGTATCTACCTCTTCCCCCATCTTAGTATCAAATGCAAATTTGCTGAGAGTGCAATCCACCCTCTCATCCAGATCATTAATAAGGATGTTGAACAAAACTGGCCCTAGAACCAATCCTTGGGGCACTCCGCTAGAAACCAACTGCCAACCTGACATCGAGCTGTTAATCACTACCCATTGTGCCTGACAGTCTAGCCAGTTTTCATCCATCTTACAGTCCATTTATCCAATCCATACTCCCTTAACTTGCTGGCAAGAACATTGTGGGAGACCGTATCAAAAGCTTTGCTAAAGTAAAGGTATATCACACCTACCGACTTTCCCATATCCACAGAACCAGTTACCTCATCATAGAAGCTAATCAGTTTGGTTAGGCATGACTTGCTCTTGATGAATCCATGATGACTATTCCTGATCACTTTCCCCTCTTCCAAGTGCTTCAAAATGGACTCCTTGCACAAGAAGCCCTGTCTTCCGACGCTGTACTGTAAATCTTCTTGCACAAGAGCGGGCGGGCAGTGTGGACCCGCTGCGAAAGAACGTCTGTTCTTGCGCAAGAACCCACCAGTGTAGACATAGCCATAGTGCGGACGCTCTGTAAGTTTTTGTGCAAAAACAGCTGTTTTAGCGCAAAAACTCTGCAGTGTAGATGTAGCCTCAGTTATTCCAGTAGAAGCTGGAATCTCTTGGTCTGCCTAGGTGGTGGCTAAGAGCTGAAATCACTAAGGGTATGTCTACACTACCCCGCTAGTTCGAACTAGCGGGGTAGTGTAGACATACCCTTAGTGATTTCAGCTCTTAGCCACCACCTAGGCAGACCAAGAGATTCCAGCTTCTACTGGAATAACTGAGGCTACATCTACACTGCAGAGTTTTTGCGCTAAAACAGCTGTTTTTGCACAAAAACTTACAGAGCGTCCGCACTATGGCTATGTCTACACTGGTGGGTTCTTGCGCAAGAACCCACCAGTGTAGACATAGCCATAGTGCGGACGCTCTGTAAGTTTTTGTGCAAAAACAGCTGTTTTAGCGCAAAAACTCTGCAGTGTAGATGTAGCCTCAGTTATTCCAGTAGAAGCTGGAATCTCTTGGTCTGCCTAGGTGGTGGCTAAGAGCTGAAATCACTAAGGGTATGTCTACACTACCCCGCTAGTTCGAACTAGCGGGGTAGTGTAGACATACCCTAAGAGCTGAAGTCACTAGTTTGGTCTGGAGCCAGACTCATCGTGACTAGTGGGCAGCCGGTAGGCACATCGGCCAACAGGGTGGCTCGCAAGAGCAGGTAGCCAGCAGGGTGACAGGCAGGGGGGCAGTAGGGGAAGGGGCAGGGGGGGGAGGGGGGGGGGGGGGGGGGGGGGTGGGGGGAGGGGCGCGGGACAGTGGGCAGGGGCAGAGCGGGGGGGCTAGAAGAGGCGGGTGGCCGGCAGGGCAGTTGGTCGGAGCAGCCGGCGGTCGGCTGGTAGGAGCAGCAGCAGGCAGACAGCAAGGCAGCTGGCAGGAGGAAGCGGGCCACAGGAACAGCACAAAGGTGGCATTGCCTCAGGCCCAATTAGTGGAGTCATCAGGGTGATGTGTCTGGGTCTGCACTGACTGGACAGAGCTGTAAATGGGGCTTTTGAAATGGGATACAGAGAAAGTTTGGGTATGTGAATGGGACCCTTACATTGTTGGACTAGTGATAGAAAGTGCTACATAGTCCTATATATTGTTGGACTAGTGAGCCTGAGAGGCATGGCTCAATCCATTTGAGCTGGGATGATTTCTTGTGGGGGGTTATGAACTT